CCCCCCCCCCAAAGTATAAAAGTGCCTCCTTCAGTGGGGTAGTGCTTATTCTCACAGGACATATACGAACTCATATTTGGAATATCATGCAAATTTAGAAAGTAGCGCAAAAATGTAACACCTTTATTTCATAATAGAATTTCCTCATCGTTTCATAACTGTCTGATAAAGAGCAGATTACAGCTATCAAATATCGAATTTGATACGAACGAATAACGAGGGTAGTTACGAACGTAGGATAAAAAAACGAATAACGTATTCACAATTTGAATTAACTCCAGAAAAAAAAACACTGACCTATAACAGCCGGGCCGTGGGCACTCTTGATTAGAGCACCTATAAATTTTGGCATTGGCATACCCCAATTTAATCGTGATATTCCTTTCGAGCTCATTTTTGAACTTAACCGTGTGAACACCAGAAATGGCCTTTACCAGTGTTGATTTACCATGTGCTACATGACCAATTGTTCCTATATTAATTGTTGCTTGACGACTGATCACCTGAAATATCCATTTATCTCCCCCATTTTTGTGCAACTCGCAAATAATACAACTATCTCTTCCCAAGCTGAGAAGAAACGACAATCCACTGAGATATTACTGGCACTCGTTAAGAGAGCGAAACTGAGCAATTAGTAACTGAACACTTACATTTGATGAAAAATCCCTTCAATTTCCAAACATGAGAGAGTGCAAAACCATGAATGAATAAACAAACCTCTTCAGTGAGTGGCGATAGCTTAGCTGGATCGAGCTTGTCCAAATCTTGAACCGCTAACCAACTTTGTGGCATACTATCTCCTTCTGAAAGCAAAACCGTATGCTCTAGGAGCGAAAGCTTATCGGCATAATGAACTGTGGTGACTCAAAAAAGTTCATCACATTAGATTTCTATTTTGTGAATATTACTTCAGTTCGGACAGCATCGGTAAGGTCCAACCGGACAACCACGGAAAATTTTAAAAATCACTCAGATCAATTTATCTCCCTTTCATTGTAAACATAAGCCTCAGCCCAAGTATCAAGTATAAGCGTGAGCCTGACTCAAACATATGAAGCTAAATTATATACGGGGCTTGCCTCGTTGAGTGATTATCATTGCAATACTTTCGAAACGGTGATAAACCGTGCCAGATGGTTAAATTCCTTCAATATTCCGACAGCATCAAAAATAGCTCATATAACATGAATGCTGACAAAAGTAGTCATCGCCCGATTCGGACTACGAACAACGACGCGCCATTTCGACAAATCAAAAATTAATGATAAATTCGATATGAAACGAAGTTCTGGCTGAGATAATAAAAGAGCTAATGACAGCCACAAAGCAACCTTTCGATTCAGTCATGGCGTGTACGGTCGATGTAAATTCAACTATGGTAACGTCAACTCTTTCAAAGTTGCCACACAATCGTCAGCGAATGCCTTCAAAACAAATTTTTATGAAACGAATGAAAGAATTACCACGTAGATGTCACAAAATAGATCTTGCACGCAATTATTCGCTTATATTTTTTATGCATTTCAGATGCCACTTAATAATACTGAACGTAACACTACATAAATGACTTGCCGCAGAACACTGAAATGCTTCGATGGTAAATAGGTTCCATTAAAATCGTCTAGAAAACATTTTGAAAACGCACAGAGGTATTACCTAAACTATCAATGAAAAAACACACAATCATCAGCCATTAAAATTGCATCAGCATATTTATTCCTGGTTCGGCTAAGCGAAACAATGACTGCGTTAAACGGATAAAAGCATATTTAAACACAATCACATGCAAGCATTATGCTGAATTGAATCCATAAGGTAATGATGAATTTGTATTGAATCACATAAAACTGCAAACAAAACTATCACGAATACATATTTATTCATATTTAAAATTAGCTTTGAAAACAGCAGATCGAGCAAATAGCAACACAACAAATTTCAGCATGAATTTAACGAAGCAACACAATCGCTCCAAGGTCTCTCGTTCATCACATTTACAGCACAAAAATTCGAAAACACAATCTCGCAATACACAACGTTAGCGTTCCGAGGATGGCAAAAAAAGTCGAGACGAGGAGAGTCGAAGATAAAACTTCGCATTCGGGGACTCCGAAAATGCAGTCGGCTTAAAAGTTCGCGGACTGGGAATCGAGAAAGGGATCTCCGAAATTCCCCGATTCCCACTTCCGCAGTTAGAAGATGTATAGAGTAGTTTGTTGCGCGAATCGGGGAATTTCGGAGATCCCTTTCTCGATTCCCAGTCCGCGAACTTTTCAAGCCGACTGCATTTTCGGAGTCCCCGAATGCGAAGTTCCATCTTCGACTCTCCTCGTCTCGACTTTTTTTGCCATCCTCGGAACGCTAATGTAGTGTATTGGGGTCTACGATATTTGACCAAGCGACAACTGTCAGCAAGTCATTTAGCCAACAAGTAGTCGGTCAAACAAAGTTCGTCTAGGTTCGCTTTTTGAGCATTGCGAACGTACGATCACCATTTTGGGTGTTTAATATAAAAAGCGTGTTACTGAGGATTAGCCTCAGCCTGAGCGTGGCCTCAGCATAAGCCTAAGCCTAGTCCCTGCCTCAACCTAAGCGTAGCCTCAGCCTCAGCCTGAGCATCAGTAATACACATTAGGTTGAGGCTTAGCCCAAGCCTCAGTCTAAGCGTACCCTCAGCCTCAACCTAAGTGTAGCCTCAGCCTCAGTCCGAGCGTGAGGCTGAGGCTACGCTTAAGCTTAGGCTGACCTAATTGAAAAATGTACAAACATCAATATGTTTCCTGGCAAACTTGAGAAGAC